TTAGAATTATAATTCCAAGTGGTTTAGAAGCGAAGATATAGATAAACATAGGTTTTATTAGGCGGCCATTTTGAAATCCAAGATGGCCGCCATAATGACCTCGGATGAGGTGGTTCCTACCAAAAATTGAATGCTATGACCATAAGAAGCATGTAAAAAAAATTGGTGCTTTTGTCCGGAACGTCCACATCCATCTGCTAAGCTGCCGGACTAGATTGCTTGTGCATACAAGAGTTGATCTATAGCCCCATATGGTATAAAATCATAATAGGTCCATGATAAAATCATTAAAAACACGCAAACCAGTTCATCTTTCATACAGATTAAAATAATTCGCAAGTCCAGCCAAGCCAAGAAATGGACAGGGTAAAAACAAATAAACTTAATTGAAGTAAACTTTTGCCAATCTGGAAGCATAGGCCTACAGTGTGTTCAGTTTCATAATCAGCAAGTCTACTATGCAGCATTATTGTATATGGATAATTATGAATTTATATTTTTCATGAAGTACATTATATCCAATGTAATATGTAAACGATAGGTATTGCTTATATTGAATTAGCTCCTATAACATTTGAATTGATATAATACTTGTATTGAGACATCATTAAAATTAAGTGACTATTATAATAATTGAAGTTTGTTGTAAATGAATATGAATTGTAAGATTAAAACTTGCAGACAGCTAACGATTTAAGTTAAAAAAAATTGTTTCAATTTGTTTTGTGATCATTAAATGTGATCGGCTCTGGCAAAACCAGATGTTAGGAAAAATTAAAAATAATTTTTTTTTTGTATATTTAGGTTCTGCATGAATTCTTTAAAACAGTGTCTATTTACTAGGAATTGGTTGAGTATTACTATTAGCAAAGTTATGAATATTCAATTAATTGGATATCAGCCATGTAGATTTTGAGAAAACAGCTTTCAAAGACTCAAAAATCAATAGTTTAATAAGATTCGTATTTTAAAAATAACTTTAATATATTTACAGTTACATTTAGTGATTGGTATTTTGCACAAATTTTCTTCAATATGTTCTTTTATAAAATTAGACCTGAAAATTTTGATTCTCAACCCTTTTGGGTACTTGTGCGATATTAGAAATTGCGACAAACAGTGGGTTTTCCCAGAGCCCGTCACAAAATGTGAGAAAAGAACATCTTGTTTGTTGGTTTTATAGAAAATTGAACATTGTAATGCTAAATTAATACAAATACTCAAATGAACACAGGAAATCATAATTTCATGCATTTTCTAATTTTATTTCCATGATTTCTTTTGACATATTTTACATTTTGCTGGTTCAGCACTCACAGCAAACTATGGATGTTTCTTAACAACAATGCAACAAATTCGTTTTTTTTGTTATCTCTCTTAGTAAATTGCATTTCTTGTGCATAATGCATAACTGCGCAGTACATTAATGTTTGAAGAATGCATACAGGTATACACACATTACCATTTTAAGCAACAATATTAGCCTAGCAATTTAGACAAATAAAAGTTAAAAGTATCATTTCTATATTACCGTATATAAATGTTGCAGCATATTCTTTTAACATTCATTCCCAACTCCAGATATTTTTGATAAGGATATTATTATCTATAGACACATTATTTTCCTATAAATTTAAATTAAATTAAATTCTTCAATTCAAGACACTAAAAATATTTCTTAGGCCATTAAAATATACAATGTGTATTAACAATTTCTCAAAAAACAGAGCAATTTTTAATTAGAATTAGAAACCTTTCCTTTTACTGGATACCCAATCAATGTGGGGACATTGTTATTCCTTGGGGCTCAGATAACAAAAACTTAAATTTTATACTAAACCTTTGAAACTACAAATCTTTGAAACCGCAATCAACCCTTTGAAGGCTATTGTCTAAGCTTTGCTTCACTATGTGATTGACAAAATTAATATCTGTTTTTAATCTTATTTATTGGATTACAAAATCTGAGTGTCTATTTTTTGCAATTAATCCTGTCTAATTGTTATAATTTGCATTATAGGCAATTATTCTTTGCTATGTTATATCATTTTAAATAGAAAGACAATTATAAATGAAAGGAACAACTGTAGATTACAGAATTATACATCATGGGTTTACCATGTGACAAGCCTCTTATGCATGTACTGTACATATGACATGATATAATAACTTGGACTTGGCCTACTTTTGAGAATATGGCACAAGGCAGACCAGCATACAATTGCTTTATAGCATGAGACCTCATTTAAACAAGGTCACCACGTTAAAGATACCTGTTCACTACAAACTACTATACTATATATCATAATTCACTAAAACAGACCTTACAAATCGCATAGCCATAAACATGCCAACATTTATAGCTTGTACCCTCTATTTGAGTTGAAATATTTATAGTCGTATGGTTTTGCATTGAGTATGGTGGAAGACAAACATGATTGTAACTTTACATTATGGAATACATCTCCATTGAGACATCAAATGTACTCAACATCTTATCGTCAGTCATGTATACTAATCTATATTTACAATGTGATCTGAGGAACATAATGGAATATTATGTGAAATTATATAATTGGAAGTGAATTGTACAGTTGGAATAGTATTTATATGAGCCTAATGAAAACATTTAAAAAGCATTTAAAATGAATAACAATAACTTTAATATTACCAATAAAATATAATAATTTAAATTAAGTGTCCCTGATAAAAAGTTATCACAGTACCAACAAAAGAAAAACCCAGATACAAGGCGACCCGTTCCATAAGATGCATTGATTTTGTTAATGGGTGTACTGAAAAGCGTCAGAAAAACAAAGTCAAAGACTGAAAACTCTGATAGTCTGTGATTGACAGACAACTTTACATGTAGGTTGTCTGCTTCCAGCCAGATGTTTCCCTACTGCAGTCTGATCAGATATGCTATCAGATAATAGAAAATGTATCCTTCAGTGTCTGCTGTTGCTGCAAGGTTAACCTATAGGATTTATCAGCAACTTATAAAGTTTAATATATTTTTAGCATTCATAAATCCACAAACTGACAAGAGGATGAATAACACACATCATATCCTGTATTATTATTTTAGTCACAAACTTTTCATAAAAAATGACTCTCTCTGCGAATCATCCCATAGGGGATCCCAAAAGTGGATCCGGTACAAGGAAAAAGGGTTTAAGGTTAGAGTAGTGACGTATAGGAGTATTATCATGGAGAAGGTTGTTGATGAGAAAGTATGGGAGTGCCAGCTTGAGGCATGAGGTGATTTTTCACTACTTCTGTGTAATATTTTCGCTCAGCAAATTTTTACTGAGGACACATAAGACGCACAAATTTTTTAGAAGGGGGTGGGGATGTTCATCCTCTTATAGATGCAGTCTACTGTGCTAATCCCCACATTTGGCTATAAAATCCTTAACTTCAAAATAAAGTACACTCTTAGAAACATTTGAACTGCAAAACTCCCCTGTTCCCATGATTTCAAATTCCTTGAAACTACATTAACATTCCTTAAAGTTAATAAAGTTGTTTATGCAGGTCTAAAAATAAATGAGGTACAGTACAGTATCCAAACATAATTATATACAGTATATCATAATAAAGTATGCATTGTAATGTAATAACAGTAATCCTGATTTATAGAAGCTGAATTATATAATAAAAAATATTTTAATAAGGCTTTGTTTTCATATATTGTATAACTATTAATTCACACACTTAAGCTTAATTTATATTTACAGTATCAAACAAAATTTAGTAAATGATAAAAGTAAATTTACATGTCAAATGACAATAAAATATACACAATGAATAACTAATAATGATAGACCATGCTTACCACCATATACCAATGTTTGTAAACCATCACACTCTATTCCTTTGAATTCATATTCAATGATTAAAATCACAAACCTAATCATAATGTTTGTTATATCATTCATAGTGACGATGTCTACTCAACAACTTCAAATATAAAATTACTTTCTTTGCATTGTTGTCATTGGCTAAATAATAAGATAGTTGTTGAGATGAAATCAAAACCTCTGAAGCAATCAATACACTTTGATAGCTTTCAACACTTCTGAAAAGTACCAAAGTATTGATTTCATTATAAAAATATTACAATAATTATAATCATGATAAATACTCATAACTACAATTATTTTTAAATGATCAGAGTACATATAATTCATTTCTAATGGCAATTTTAATTAATAGTTCATTAGTAATATAATTATTCATACAGGTGATAATTCATTTCAATCAAATTTAAGGTGTAAAATTAATAATCTATAATCTTAATATGAACAACAGCATGTAATTCAAAAACTATAGTAATCAAAAGCATATCTAATTAAAAAATTGAGGTACAGTACATTTAGCATTAATCGAAAACAAAAACATAATTACCAAACAAAAAGATAAAGAATATACTAAATTCTTCCACCCATTAATATTCTTTAAGGTTTTCTTTATGCTTATTGTAGCTGACAATTAAATTTTATCATGACAGATTTGTTAGATTTCAGATACCAGCAAATGAAATCATTCTACTTCAAGAATGGAAAGCTGAGTACCTGTACACTTCTAGTTAATCCCTACCACCATAATACCAGACAAAATTGCTTCAAGAGCGTTACTATACAAATACTTGTTTCCCTTATGTCCCTGTGGCTATTTGTAAAGCAATTCAGACTGACAGAAAAAAAGAGAGGGCAAAACAAACTCTCAGTACGAAAACTGGAATACGCATTAGTATTAGGTGTTCCTTCAGCTAATGCGAGGTCAAATTGTAATTCATTATTTCCTTACAGCAATTCAGTATTTAACAATTGCCCATTATTTACCGTACAAAATAATGATTCATTTTACCTAAATGTTAATAACAGTTTGCAATAAAATTCTTACAAAATTATTGGATTGTGAAATGTAAAAAAAATGCATTATTTGTACAGTAAATAACAGGGATGGCACCAGGATTTGCCCGAGGAGGGGTGGTCTGGGGAAAGGGGGGGGCGAAGCCCCAAACAATTTTGACAATTTAAGGGTTTTAAAGACTTTTTTTTCTCCCAGACGAATCATGCTTTTTCTCACCGACGGGTGGGCCAACTGTCTCCCCGCTGGCGCCACCCCTGGTAAATAATGAGAGATTGAATTACATTTTGAATAATTATATACATGCGTTAATTAATTCACACTTGATGCCTCATTTAGAGTATCTAATGTACAAACCTACGACTTTTCACTGTTCAGAGTTAATATTTTTTCTAATATGAATTTTTCCAAAATTGCATTGATAAAATATTATTGATACATATTGTACTGCAAGATACCATATGTTAATTATTTTAGTACTAAACGTAATGGATTTTAAGTCACCAAACCACATGGTGATATGAAATTGATTGGACACACTGTTTGGGATGTTGGTTGAAAATGGTTTATGGAGAAATGGTTGGAAGATTAATGTAAGAGGAAGAACATAATGGGCTGGAAATTGGAGGTGAAAGAAGAGAATCATAACCAATCAGCATGCTGAAACTTAATTTAAAGGCCCCTGATTATTTTTCATTTGCAAATACATTATTCAAATGATAATATGGTTAACATATTTTTCCTCGCCTTTTTTGTAACATAACTTAATGCATGGTGGACATTAATAATCAAGATCGCAGAATACTTGGAAAAATTTCATCTAGTCTACTACCTTAAGGTTTAAATTGAAAAAAGTTTAAGACTGATACAATGCATTTACTAATTTATGTTCAAATATTTAGTCACTTAAGAATTAATTTTCATGACTTTTGAGTCATGTTCAAATTGAGTACAAGAAGGCTACACAACTTGGATACTATGATGAAACCTAAGTTTCTTAGACAAGTAAGAGAAGGAACTTATCTGACCATATCTGATTAACTTAGAAACAATCGGCCAATCACAGTTCAGCAATTGTAGGAGTGGTCAACTCATTAGACCATTCACCATACTGTAATGTTATGAATTTGTACTATAATGACTTGGCTAAATGTACGCTGTTGCAGCTCATAAAGCACTTAGGCACAATGAAGTAATGCTTACTAATTGATCGCTCATCCTGGTTACAAAAATCATCAAAAGGATGGGCCAATTTGAAATACAATAATCCATGCAAGTATTATTTTATTAATTGAAGACTACTGTATGTATACAGAACAATAAATTGCGTATTAAAATAGTACTAATCCCATTTATTATGGATTTAATATGCAATGGCTTCAGGGAATTAGGGATTTTACTACTGGAAAGCATGCATGTCAAATATCTGCTATGCTGACTTTGTTGAGAAACAATAATAATAATAAATAATAATTAAACAAATACCAGTAGTAGTTTTAAAATAGGTTTTAACATTCTGTATTACAATTATCTTCATGCACAATTACTTTTGATCGAGGCAACAATGTGAATTAAAAATATTAAGATAAACCTATTTTCAGTGTTCCCACTACTGTCATGAAATTTATAAAATCATTTAATAAAAATATAAATTAAATACAGTACAGTATTACAATGTCTAGGCGATAGACCAACTATACTTTCACAGCCTATGGTGCAAGGAAACTTTCATCCATGCACCAGATTCAAGGGCATTAACAGTTATTTTTTCCAAGTAGCTTTCCTTACTAAGGAGGAAGCAAAACTGTATCGGTAAATGGCACAAGCCAGTACAGTAAGGCTTGATCCATGCTAAAAAATTATTTTTACCTTTGACCTCTATATTTCTATTTTACCATACCCTGGAGATTTTAAGTACAGCCAGAGACAGATAAGCTTGCACATTGCTCTTTATCATGGTGCAACCTTTGACTTTTTAAGACAAATTTAAAAACAAAATGTAGACAATTTATCAAATTATAAATAAACCAAACTAGTAAAATAAACACAATGTCCGCTACAGGCGTTATAGTTAAATAAGGGTACTATTTTCTGATATAGTTTTCTTTTATGATAACCTGAAAGGGTTTAATTTTAAAACTGTACTACTCATTGATTTAGTTGCCCAAAGGTGATGGTTAGATCTAGTCCACTGTTACAGTAGTTGTTTAATGGGCCTGAATTACAACAATAAGTTCAATAACAGGTTATCAGCTGTAACCTTTGACATTATGGTCAGGTTATGTTCAGTCATTGCATGTTAAATCTTACTGACCAATAAATAAATGCAAGTAAAGGGAAAATGATCAAGCAGAGTTGAGCAACGCTGGTTACCAGGGAATTCTGATGGTTTAAACCTAAATATTTATTGGGAGCTATATTTTGGTTGTGGTGAAGCATTGGTTACTTAGTCAATTTCAGCATTGTGTATAATTTTATAAATTTATTTATTGGTGCAATACAGAATAAACTAACCACAAAGTTCTTGAAAGTACATTTTAATAATATCTCCATAATATAATAAAAATCAACTATGTACTGTATCTACTGTATTATTAAAGTGTACAACATAACCTATTACTGACAATAATGATGTCATAGCAACTGCAGAAAGACTAAACCTTGTCCAAACTATAAAATTTGATTTGATAAACATTTTCTCATGTACTTTTATATTTTTGTATATTTATTCTGAATGCACCAACAATTACCAAGTTAATGTAAATCCAAGCCTCTGCCTACATACTTCTATCAAACATGTCTGATTGAGAACGCAGAAGTTTAACATGGGAATGATATATAGACAAGCCAGTCGGCACGCTCATGTTAGACTCATGCAGGTTCATACTACGTTCAAGGTTGTTAAACAAAAGCCATTCGTTACACAACATTTCCCTGGAGACTTTTACCCTTTACATATGTTTTATTTTTCCAAACTTACTTTCATGACATGATAAGTTTTAAAATAAAAAAGCACAGATTGTGAAAGTACTGTTAAAAAAGATGCATAATTCCAAAGTCACTTTGTAAGAAAGTACTTACAGTTGTAAAGTACAAGTTCAGGTTATTATAATATAAACATTTAAATTGTTATGTAAATGTGTACTGAATTCTGTTTAGTTAAAAAATGTAATAAAAAAATTTGGTAAATTTTCTCTATTTACGGTAAATGTTATGGATCAACTTCATAGAAAAATACTGTAAACTTGCACAGTAAAATGACCATGAGTTGTACTACTGTATGTGCTTTTGCAGACTATTTTATAATTTTGTTCACTAGAGAAAGTTTATGTTAACTAAGATATGAAGAGACATGAAGAATGAAAGACTATCAGTACATCAACAATTCAGTTGGATGGAATAACAAATAATGAAGTAATAATTGAAAGCATTTAAACTGAACATATAACACATCTAGTTATTTATATTTGTACACAATAATGTGATTGTTAAAAAAGCTAATAAAAACAGTAGCTAGTAAATTATGCCCTAATTCAGGTTAAATTGGAACATTAAAGCAATTATTTTCTACTTAAGTAAAACTACTTCCACCTTCAACAGTGGTTTCTGTGGTTAAGGTAGGTCAAGATATTGAAAATTTCCTATTTTGACAGATTATGCTCAAAACAACCATCAGAAAATTTTCAAAAATATCACAATTTATATCTTGATATATATTTATATATTTATATTGAAAAATTTTATTGATTTTAGAAGGTTATTCATTTCAGATAGAGCAAGAGATACTGTTAATAATAGTACAAAATCTGTTCTTAATTAGTGCATTGTAACAGCAGATAAGGCCCCATCACATTTTTTTGCAGACAATAAAGTAATGCCTACGGAATCATACACATACTGAACTCACTGTGGGAGTATTCTATAATGTTGTAGATTGTAATCAGGGTGCATTCAAACCTACTGCACCAGGTACCCACTATAGTCCTGCATAGAAATGCAATGTGGACAAAGTGCCAATCCCCACCCTTATGGTTTAAAGTTAAAGAAGATTCTGATTACTGATTAATCCATTATGCTCTTTAACATATTTGCTGCCAGCAACGAGTATACTCATCCCACAGGCTGCCGCTGAGGGCACTTGGGACGACTATACTCGTCAAAATTGGGGTAGCATTCTAGCGTTTATTACTTCATTGTTATACAATGTAGAACCACAGACATAACAGCTAGACGACAATGTAAAAATAATGTATATATGTTTGTTGTGATATGTTGCAGGCAGTACACTCGATTGCACGAGTGGGGGCACTCTCTGAACTTATACCAACTCATGCAAAAAGTAGACGAGAAAACTCGCACTTTGCAGAGGCAATAAAAAATACTGTCCCATTGCCAGCGTAGAGTTTACTCGTCCACTAATATTTTTCAGCCAATTTATTAAACACACCACTTTAATGATGACTAGATAAAATTTCAAAAAGTCTGGCAGTCAACATGTTAAACTTGATAATGATGGAATTTGTGTATCATGATTTCAAATAAATGGCACTTTAAAATATACAATATATGTACCGTTAAATTTTGTTATATCATAATGACATTCTGTATGGTTATAATGTATTTTCATGTATTCTGCATCAAATCTATTGTACCTTTTTCAAAAATAAATAGAATCTTACAGGTAATTTCAATCCCACCTTGTGATTTCTTTTTGATCAGCACACTTCACCTCACTTTCTATTGAGTGGTTTTGACAAACAAACTGTTGCTCAGGTGAGACGCGATGAATAACGAATAGGTAACGATAATTGCATGTGTTCCAATTGGCATTGAACAGCGTGAATCGGCCAGAGTCTATCAGCGGTATGCCTAGATATTCTGCAATTACACCTGTGTACGCATCCTCAACTGGAAACGGCTTAATATGTTTGGCAGCTTTTACCATCCTCTGAAGAACATCACCAGACAGTAGGTACCCTGTTCCACTAGCGTATGGTGGGTATTCATGACGTGGATATAGATTGTTCGATACTCGCCACTTACTATCATTCCGTCGAATTACATCTAAAGTTTTCATGCGATTTCCTGCATACAGTTTGCTTTTTATGGTGTTATGGTTCAATAAGTAATGCGTCATTAATTTAATATTTACAAAACAATCATCATCAGTTTTTAAAATAAACCGAGGTTGGCAGACCTTTGCGGCCCACAAGAATCCGTTTTGTACTTTTAGTGTTAAATTCCTGTAGGAGTCTATAAAATTACCCTGAAGGATATCATCATGGCGTTGAACCTCATCTTCAAGTAATACCTGCGTCGCTGGATGATACGTCTTTCCAAGCAGGAAAACCACTTGCGATGAAGTGCTGCCTTTGTCCGAGACAGAGGCCCATGTCTTGCGTATACTAGCTCGTATTTCAAAGTTCTCAGGAGCTGATGTCACAAGCACCAGCAACAGGATATTGCGTTTGCATGATGTTGCCTGCGAGAAAATGTCACTGAACTTCTGAACATTCCACGTTGTGTCAACATAAGCTTTAACATTTTGGTAGTCTGGTAAAACCATGGACGAGGTATCGACAACAGAATTGATACCAGTGAATGGAATGTCTGAATCCATGACAGAGATCATTAAGAAAACACAAACAAACAAAAATAGGAGTATAAATGTGGAAGACGTAGTGGTACGAGTAAGTATACGAAGCATAACGCACATGTAGTCTGCTACCGAAGCCATCAGTTGCATTGAATTTGCCACAAAGGTTCCTGCTAAACAACAGAAGAAAAAAAACAAACCAGAATTTTAAACAGCTGCTTTAATTTGGAGATTCCTTTATCTATTTTTAGTATAGTCCTAGTAATAGCTATAACAAAAGTTATATTATTATTGAAGATTGTTCCCTAAATTCTAAAAAGAATTATTTTTGGCATTTTGTTGACATAAAGTATTATTGCTGGTTTATTCAATCAAATACAGTAATAAAACATTGTGTTGTGATTCATGATTTGCCGTATAATACTAAGGTAAATAAAGTGGAAAAATGTACGTGAATTTGGTATGGAAATCCAAAACAATGGAAACGTCTATTATTTATTGCAAGCCATGCAGAGACTACTGAATCATTGTTTGTAGGGCTATCTTGGCCGAATACCCATCTAGGCCAACCCATTTTAATAGTCTAACAGTCCAGCGACTTATGCAGCAGCTAGGCATGTTACTAATCGGATTTGGTGGCTTAGGCCCTATTTCAAGCAGGGTCTCAATCATGTGTTTTGTTAGTAGTGCAGGTCCTAGGCCTAGGAAGAAGTAGTAAGCCCCTTACTAGCCTTAGCCTCCCCTCCCAGGTCAAGCAAATGTAATGTAGGGCCTATATAGACTACACATAGGCCTACGTACAAGTCGACTACGTTTAGAAACTATTATTCTTACCGTCTAAGGCTAGGTTTACGAATTCAAACAGTGTTGAAAGACCAGGTTTAAGGTCTGAATCTCCTGAAAGACTTCCATTAATACTCGAGTGAAAAACACTGATAATACAATACTACAGCACTCTTAAACAACATATTTTAAACACGAGACACAGGTCATTGGTCTCCATTGCGTTTAAACACTCTTGTTATGTTTACGTCGTGTGTGAGTATGGCTCTCATGCTGCTTTCATTTTGTACAGTATTGTAAAATAATTTATGCAAATTACGTCACACACCGTAAATTCGGCCTATCATAATGGTTCGTTCGTGGGTTTGCCAGAGGTTCGCCGTATCTAATTAATTATAATTCAATACATTTGTATAATTATTATAATGCAGTCGATTGATACATCGACTACAGCTGTTACTGTATGTATCGTGTAAGCTTTATTTACAGCGCTTTATATATAAGCATCACGTGCGCGTAAAGAGGCCACCCAGTGGCGTAATAAAACAAAAACAAATGTTATCTAATTTATTTGATCTTGTTTGTAGTTAAAATTGAAGGTCTACGTCTTTCAATTTTGCTGGCCATGTCTCCCCATTTCTTAGATCTGCTGTATTCTATTTAAAATAAATAATAAAATTTAAGAAAGTTGACCAAATTTTTAAACAAAAAACGTTTTTAATGGACAGTAAAATTATATCCCCCAACGTTTAATACCGGTTTCAGTAGGTTTCTATTTTATTTTACAGTACTTGCATTGTGAGTTAATACATATAAAAGAGTATTAGGTTTGTACATTTTCTATCCAATCAACAATTAATATAACGGGCTATAGGCTTTTAATTTTAAATCATTTTTATAACGACAGTTTATTTTGGATAATATAGGCCTAGATCATATTGTGAACGTACCATATTTTCTTTCAATCTTAATTAATTATTTAAAAAAAAACAAAAAAAAACAAGAAAATTATATAGGCTTATAAGTCTGAGAATGCCATTTCCGGCCATCTAGAGTTGGCACAATCATAATTTTTCTTACCTCAGCTTCAACCATGATGGGGCTGAGGGGTGGATCCTGTCAGCAGGGCGGCGCCGAGAGCCGGGCGTGGCCCCCGGCGGGGCAGCTTTGCCCGGGCCCATTGGCTGGGGGTCGCCTAGCCAAGATTCAAGGTGGCTATGGCCTTTTAACGGATTAGAGGACTAATTTAATCGATTATAGAGTGCTCTTTCACCAGGTCATGAAAAATAATGTATGGAAACATGAAAAGCAAAAGCTATCCTTATTGAAACGTAGAGCTGAAAAGATTCATAACATATCAAATTTTACAGTGGCAAATCCATTAATTTGAAATAGAGGGGACCCAGAGAAGGACTTTCACAGATTAGATGTCGAGTCATACATTTATGACTATGGTACCTCTGGACGGCCGGAAATGGCACTCTAGACTTAAAATTTGAGGAGAATTTTCCTTTTTTTCTCAATTTTTGTTAAATTAAAAAAAAATTAGGGGGTGGGGTGGGTGGATTGCTAGGACCCCCCCCCCCCCACAATCCACCACTGGTTTAATATATTAATTCAGTATTTATTTGACAACCGAATTTCTATTAGGTCTATTCGTATTTCTAACTTTGTAGGCTGATGTCCAGGGTCAAGACTTAGATAATTATCAATTAACGCAAAGATATAATATTTGATACATTATAAACATAAATTATGAAAAATAATTAGAAGCGATTAATTAATTACGAGCTTTCATCAATAAATGATCAACATTTATTTATGTCTCGTTGGAAAAGCACATGAATGATACTAGATGAATGTATACGTTTAAACATTTTTATTTATTTATTCTATTTTTTTACCTAACATCCCGGGCCCCTTTCGGTCGCAGGGCACTTGTCCCGTAAGCTCCAACCTCTCGGCGCTACTGCCTGTCATTGAAAGCAGCAGCGTGACCATTCACAATTTTTGATATACCCAATGACTGGGTCGAAATTACCCAAGATTCAGCAAAAATTGCCCAAAATTATCCAAGCTTCCTGAAAATGCATTAAAATTTGAAAAATATGTGTTTTTCGCATGTATAGTTTCCCTTTTAGTTCAATTTATGAACCATTTTTATTGTAATTGTTTGTGTTAATTATTAAAATTAATATTCATGAGGTGATAATACGGATAGAAAAATACGCCCTCAGTCGGCCAGTGTTATCAGTGTAGACCAGTGATCAAGTTTTTATTATGCAATGCATTAACTAGGCAAGATCAGTGGCAACGCAAATCACAAATAAACAACTCTGAACCCATTTTTATAGCAATTAACAGTCAATTAAGAATAATGTGCACTTCGTTGAGTTTTACTTACTTGAATGAACTGAAATATACTTTGTTACTTCTTAATTTTTCCTCTATGATAAAAATAATTAATTTTCTTAGTAAAAATAAATACCCAAGGATTTGAACGGAATACCCAAGAACCCAAGACCAAGTCAAAATACCCAAGATCTTGGGTAAATACCCAAGCAGTGGTCACGCTGATTGAAAGTCTTTCCTCTGACCCTCTACTTTGAATTCCTGGATCCGCCACTGGTATTGCGAAAAGGATGCCATGCCATGAAATTTGATATTGGCTGTAGTTCGTGAGGAGGGGTGGTTATCTCCTGCAGAAAAAGATTTTGTCCCCCAAACCACCACTGTACATTTGCTGAACAAAAGAATTAACTATAGTAAACCATGGCCTTGTATCACCAATTCCCTCGACTTACTCCTCACTTTCTAACCACACTGTCATCAGCCCACCCCACGCATAATAATAATAAATAATAATAATAATAATAATATTGCTTACAGTCAATGAGCTTGCCAATTAACGGACGTTTTTGCATAGGCCTATATGCGGAAATGTGGGCTAAATCAACCAAACTGCTATTTTAGTTCAGTGTATCAATAAGCCTTTGAGACAATATCCTTCATATTTTGTATTTAGATAGTATGCCTATACGTTGATGAAGAACGAGATCGAGAGCAAGGCAGTGCGATATTACAATATTTTCAGTGTTTAAATCAATACCATTCAAGTCATCTTATTGGGATTGGGATATCGATTTTCATAATAATTATATCAATTTGTTGAAATACCTTGCTTCATTATATAGACTGTAGGATGTACTGCATCAGGCCAAGTAGTTCTGGGAAACCAACAATGACAATTATGTCTTTGGACATCCTTCCCACTGTTAACCCCTGTCCAGACTATCCAATTATATTTAATTAAAAACCTGGAACATGCCTAAATATGGTAATGATAACATCACATCGTGACCATATATAGGCACATGATGACTATGTATGGGCATACAACAGTTTTCTGAAGAAAGTTTGATAGTGTGCATTTGAAACTAATATAAATAAAACGAAACAAAATGATCTCTCGTCAATTTATTGAAACAAAATCATGAAAGTTGAACATGTACGAACAAGCTAGACACAGACATTTCTTCAATTGTCACATTTTAAAACAGACAAGACTACGAGACGCATATTTCTATTGCTTTGATCTTGTACAACGTGGATATTACTCTCAACATAAATCGTGTCCAACACCACCTACTGTTCGCTTAAGTAAGAAAATATATCATATTTATCCCCTTTACACTACTGTACGTGTAAGGCACTGTGTATAGTGTTAGTTATTTAGACTTAAACAATTCTACTCGTTACAACCTAGAAAGTTTGTAGTGAACCTCAGAAGCTGTTAAAACATGATATTCGTTAATAAAAAGACAGTGGTATAATAGTTAATTGATATTTATATATTTATTTATAAAACATACTCTATACGATATCTAAAAAGGAGCAAATAATATGCAATCTAAATTACAGGCTTCCTGTAAGACAAAACATTGATTTTAATCTCTTTAAAAAGTCGCATTTAAAAAGTCGCAACATGAAAGAATAGTTCAAATTTTATTAGATGTTATTCAAAGATGATGTTTCATTATCCTTCCTTCATTTTCAAAGCAAAAACTAATTTCAGTGGCAGTTAGGAATTTGTATTATGCCTAACCATGGAGAAATACAAATTGTAGGTGCTTGTGTGAATACTTTGTGAAGATTACAAAGAATCCCCTCTAAATCTATGGAAATCCTAGTTATGGCAGGTAAGATTTACCCTGTTAGATTCAGAGAACTATTAAAAAAATATTCTAATAGTATTCCCACTCGAATCACTTGCATGATTTCTTGCTAGTATTCGGGAACGTACTGAATATCAGGGAGGGTAAAACATCATTCCTATTTTCAAAATGACATGATTTCAAATTGGTTCATAAGAGATTTGGGCAAATTAACATTTTAAATATGTATACCAAAAAAAAAAAAATAAAAAAAGTCAGTATCTCTTTATGTGGTCTTATATTACATATCATTTTAACAATTGCATAGATATTTGATTATAAAATCAACATAAATATTAATACCGTAAGTTTCTTTGTTTTAACACCTCAGTACATGACTGGGTAGGATATTTCAGTAAGAATTAAATTCTTCTGATTTTACTTGAATTAGTCAATTTATGAAATTTGAAAGTTTTAAGTTTAAAAAATTAAAAGTATTAAATTCTGTTTATAATTTGGTTTGTTTGACTCCAGTACTCACTAGTTCAAGCTGTCAGAGAATGTATTGTAATTACAATAAAAATATGATAAAAAAAACATATATTTTATTTAAAAAACACAAGAAAATATGTTATTTAATGTTAGAAATAGCTGAAAATGCACATCCTCAGATTATGTGATAAAAATGTTAATTAATGTGTTCAAAAGGATACTAAGATAATTTATAATCAAAATATTGTCACCAGATTTCATGCATTCTATCCGGTTATCAGCGCATGTAAATTCATTTCTACAAATCAGTCTCTAATTAGTTAATATAATATATTATCACTTATATATCTCAATTTCTAAATAAGTATATCATAATTCTTATAAAATACGAATATGTCCAATTCATCTATAGAGAGGATTTGCAATCTCACAACAAAGATAACAAATACTGTTACGTCATCATTTTAGGCTATGAAACCAATCCCCAATTTTATCTGTCAGAGTATATTTGTGTATTATGAGCTGATCTCCATTTATATCTCGATTTTATGAGAATTACTGATTATTAAGCTGTGATTAAACCTATGATATTAAAATAAATATACTGCTGTCAAACAGGAGCAATCAGAACTTGTTTGTCCTAGCTCATGTCAAAAAAACAGACCTTAGGGGCCAGGCCAGATCCTCTGTTCTTGTACATATTACACAAGTTGGCTAAATTGGTTTGCATCCGTAGTGAGCCAAAAATAAATATGCAATATAATCGTACTTGTTATCACTTTCGAAAAGCTCTGTACTCTGTACTATAACGTTTATCTCATAATTTTTGCATGATCCCATATCGTGCCCATATATGGGCACGATAAAAATCATATCTTGCCAATATACCAGCATTATATTTTTAAGAAAATGTTTCATTTTCTATTATAAAATTTTAGAGAAATAAATGTTCTTTTGAACTTGAACTAATAAAGTCATATCACGCCCATATACGGGCATGTTAAATTCTTACTATGCCCATATATTGACAAATGTCTGATTTTTTGTCACTCAACAGTGTTAACAGAGTTTTAGATTCCAAATCCTCACTAACGCTCATGATTTACAGCTTTTATATACTACAGTATACATACATTATTATTTTTACCTTAAAACTAATAATTCCTCCTCTCATTTAATGAAAGGAAGTCAAGCTCTTCTCGCTCATTATAATTAAAAAACTGTTAAAATTAATCAATTTAGTATCAAAGTCTGAAATTCTCTTATAAAATGTGCCGTGATATACAAAGAAATTGGTAAGATCATACTGGAGAAGGTCCATATATGAATGCAATAAAAAATGTATCGAAGCTAAATGGACAAATATGGACATGTATTAGCACGTATTGGCCTATTTCCATATAAGTCCCATTACACAGACTACCAGTGGTATTATATCACTCTGGTCCATATCACCGACATATAGAGACTACTCTTGAGAAAATAGACCTTATTCAATTTACCCAAAATTACTAGAAAAACTCACAAAATGGGTATGTATTCTTCCAATGTCATATGGGAAAACAGATTAAAAAGTTAAAAAAATATAAAAATAGAGGTAATTACTTTTCAATATTTAAGTAGACAACCTTAAATTTAAGATAGTCTTAATCATTTTATATGAAACCAGAAATACTCCACTCTCTAATCTAAATACAACAAAATAAAGTACAATATATTAGTATATATTCATAAGATATCAACATAATAGAAAAAATTCCATCATATTTAATTTTTTTTTAAATATCAAAATTTATGAAAAATAAAAATGAAAATGTATACAAGAAAAACATAACAAAATCAAAGAATTTGGTCATTATTATAAGCTGTGAAAGAAAATCAACTAGAAAAATAAGAAAAATTCTTTATTTGGCTTTATCCTTCTCTATGATAAATTACTGATACATTCACACAACAGCTAAGAAGCCAAAATTTTGGACATCTATTTTAGGTTGGCGTAGTGGTCGAATGAATCCATATACTCTCGAACAGCATGATAACAAAAGCCATATTGCTCCTGAAAGATAACAAAATTAAATCAATATATTTCTATTTTATTTTTCTGTCATTTATTTAGCACCTTTCTTTGATAGCACATTTTATATACCACATACATAGACATACAGACATCTCATTTATTAAAAAGCAGGTAATAACTTAAAAAATCACTCCTATGATGTACTATCACCTTTAATGACAGCACTTTTCTGCCCGGTCGCGCTGTAATCTCTAGACCCCACATTAAGGTTGCTATGTAACTTATGACACGCATGAATATAAAAGGGGAATGCAGCCTCTACGATGAGATAGATTGGCCAAAGACCCTCGGGAAGATAGTAGGCTATGGTCTCCACATCACGGAGGGGCAATAGATTTCACCATTCCCCTCATAAGCAGTCAATATTTGTACAATATTACATCTCAAAACCCACAGTACATAAGAGCTGGCAAGTGACCACTTTGCTACTATTTGAACTATTATTATGATCATCATTTTTGTATCAGACGTATACAGTATTATTGCATTTACCAATAATACTGTATTATTGTTAAGTACAATAATACTGTTTTATTGTACTTACCAAGAATAATATATAACAAATTGCAAAAAAACAAACAATTTGAGTACTATTTAGAGTTAAATAGATTCATTTCCTTTATCTACTTAATCTATATGAACGAATTACCACTTTGTTAAAGATTCATGTACATTAGATTTTTTACAGCTAACTTGCATTTAAATCCAGAAGCATAGGAATGAATGCAATCACCTTTCACAATTAATATTGTTATAACAAGCAAAAAAAATCGTCATAATATTTAAAATACTTACAAAGGTTTGAACCATGTGAGGGCGCTGCTGCCGTAGCGTCCTTACTGTTTGGAAGACGTCAATCACTCCTTCTGCTTTGACACGTTCAAGCATTATACTGAGAGCTATAAAGACACCAGTACGCCCAGCTCCACCACTAGACAGTGTAAACAAACAAGTAAATATTTAGGCGTTACATTATGAGGATCCCATCAAAGCTAAAATCTAGTTAGACACTGGATTATAAAGAAGTTGAAAAGACATGAACAATTTGGAATCAGAAAAATTATAAATAATTGTGTTGGAAGCGTGTTCCAGCATTTAGAGGCAGATATGAAGATAGTGCGCATCACCTGTACTTACCTCTAGGAAGAAGTTGTGGAGGCATGCAATGGGACAAAATGAATGGAACAACAAATGTGTCGATGATTGATGAGGTGGTGTAAATAACCAGTGTCGCGTGATACAAAATCCACCAGTCAAATGACAAGGACCTACTTAGGTGTGTTATAATACAGAATATAAAAAATATAATCATTATCATACTAACCTGCAATGTACAACAATCGGAAAGGTTGAGTGGATCGATTCTTGATACTTGTGAACCTTTCCGATCAAGTCGACTAGACCTGTCCCACTGCTGGGAGCGCCTGAATGAGGCCAGCCAACATAGTGATACTGAAATACACTCCTTGACTCACCACCCTAAATAGAAATGGAATAGTCTAATAGTTGAAGCAAATATCAAGATTAAAATTATTTATTTCTTTATAGATGATAAATTTGTATCACTGTGTACATGAGCAATGAATCTTTCTGATTAATGTTCAGATATAATATTTATAATTGTATTTGAAATATTATTCAAACAATAATATTTACAACAATCGAAAAGACAAATTTAATGAGCTATATTTGAATTTTTTTTATTTAAAAAAATATTTATTCAGACATTGCAGAGATACCAATTAACAAATGATACTTAAGCAATACATTTCATATTTTAATTTATTTTATTACAATAATAACATATTTCAAATAAACTGTAAAAATGTTTAAATTATTAACAATTATGTTGAACTTCAATGCAGTCCTATATATAAAAATGTATGTGTAATATATCTATAGAAATAGGGTTATAGATTATATGTATGTACACATCTTATATATATATATATAGTTATTTATTTATTTATATTAGTAAGTTGTAGTTTTACCTACCAGTACTTTAAGCGTAACTGCACAACTTTCTGTGTGCTTTGAATTCCAAAGTACCAGTGGAAGGTCACTTATTATTTTTTATATTATTATAGTGCAAAGTATTTTCAAGTACAGATTTAATAGAACAAAATAATCATTCATTATCTATTAATAAATTTGATATAAATAGTGATTCTATCCAAAGAGATGCTTGTATTGCCTCAAATTTACTAAAAGCTGGTAATTCCATCAGGACACAACCAACAAGGACAAACAATGATTCAAAAAACAGGCAAGATAGAAAAATATGAAAAACAATGGCACTGCCAGAGACTCGAAGAAGAGTGAACTAAAGTCCTTGAGAGAGGTCTAAAGCCTTTGAAAAGCACTCTCAAACTCTAAAAAGGCTTTTTAAAGCAGTGTTCTCCAACAAAATGATTAGCTCTTTCCTTGAAAGGGGGAGGGGGAGGGGAAAGGGCCTGTCGGGTACTCCAACAGGGATCCTATGCCCTCCTGGTTTTCTTGATGGTGCAACCATTAACAAAAAAGCTCTACTAGTGCACAAACTATTAGTAGAAGCTTCAAATTTAAATTGCTTAATAACTATGTCTCGGTGATTCTAGAGACGTGTGCCTAGAGAGATTAGCAAGCAGCAAAAAATCTTTATCATAGCTGTCTGCCTATATTAATATGAATCTAAGGGGTAAGGACAGTACAGCAGCCAATCACAGCAAGATTCGGTCAGATATAAGTCTAAATGATGAGAGTAAGTACGGCAAGGCAGACATATCACAGCAAGAGTTAGTCACATATAAAGTCTAAATATTGAGGGTAAGTACCGCAAAGTAGCCAATCACAGCAAACTGTTTGTAAGATATAAATCTAAATGATGAGTGGGTGCTCAGCAAAGCAGCGAAACACAGCAAAGAATCATTCAAACCCACTAGATACACATACTGTACTAAAAAGTTGTCCTGATATAATGAATAATACTAGAGTGTGGGAATTTTATATTCTAAAAGGTCTATTCAGAAACAGTACAAAGAATAATATTCATGAAGTCTATAGGTGGTATAAACAGCTAAAACTTTACATGAAAATAATGAAGACAAGAATTCTGTACTTCTAAGTAGTGTATAAAGTAATGCTTAGTAGTAGGTGTAATAGTTAAGCAATATAGTAGTAGTAGGAGCATCATAGTAGTAGTAATAGTAGTAGTAGTGTAGAAGTGGTAGTAGTAGTAGCATAGTCATCGTGTAGTCATCTTTCCACCCAGGTCACTGTGATGTGAAGCTGGTGGCAAGAACTTGGTTAAAATGGTCAGTTGCCTTGGCAACTGCTGGGTGGCAACGGTTGGATGGCAATATTTGGGTGGCAATGCCAGGTAGCAACAGGCAGGCTGGCAACAGACAGGATCCTCTATATTAGCAGTAGCAGAATTAGCAGCAGTGTTAGTATTACCATAGTGCCTTGGGTTTAAGCCCACTCATACTTTCTATATGGTTTATGCATACCAGTACATTAATGGGCAAAAGCTATGGGTATTATTTAACTGATAGGCTTACATAAATACTTTCAGGAGAAAGATTGGCTTTGAATTGGGCATGTATTGTTTATCTGCCTTTCAATTTTGCCAGCTTTATAAAGTTAAAAAAGTTTTCCAAAATGTGGATTTCCTAGGTATGCTCTGCAAAAATCAGTTCAATTTCATGTTTTGGTGGGCTTAGACTCAAGGAACTACAGTAGTAGCAGCACCAGCAGTCTTATTAGCTGTAATCGTATGAACAGTAGCTTTAATAGACAGTGATGTGGTAGTGGAAATACACTTAATTTCAAATGTTCTGATAACGCTCTAAAAGGCAATTATCAAAAGCACTGAGGTACCTGGACAACTTACTGATAATGATTTAACAATAGTGTTGTAATAATGTCTAAAAATGTAATATTATAAGCAATAAGGTACCTCTGGCAGTAAAACTGAAGGGGGAAAGAACTTTGAATCTAATTTTTTTTTAAATTGTTTCATACAAAGCTATGATCTTTGCTATGGTCAAATTCTACAGCCAGATGCATATACTTACATATGTCTATTGATGGTGTATCAGAGGAATGAAATAAAAATATATAAATAATTTGAAAACAGTAATGAAACCAATATTCAGAATTTTAATTCCAAAACATTAATTACATTTAAAATATAATAAAAACATAAAAGGATAAGATTGTAAAAAATTCAATTCATTCTTTTGGCCAGTCAAAAAAAAAAAAATTACATATTAACAATAACGAAAATATTTACAGTGTAATAAATATTGTACTTAGTCTCTGTAAGTTGTGAACAAAAAAAAAAAACATATATTGCATATGGTGTATCCAAGCTGTAGTTTCCAATTTCCAAATAGTAGGATTTTTTTTTTTTTTTTTTTTGCAGTTTTATTTTTTTGCTTTTATTGGTCTCTGACTGTACATGTCTGTATAAATATGATTTTAATATATATTAGTAAATTGAATTATTAAGAAGCCAAGGTTGAAATACATACATAAACTTGTTTGCAACATCATATCCCCAAAAGACAGGAAAAGAATTGCCAACTATTCGACAAGTGTAATATTATAAAGAGCTACAAACCTCGGAATATATTTCCGCTAACTAGAACCTAGCGTTTATCAGAACCCTGCCTTGTACAGCTTTAAGCTATGCCGTTATTGCTATTGCAAAGATAACGTAAAGCAATTGTATATAAGGCCGGGCACTCACTGCATTCTACGGTTGTCGGCCGATGAGTTTCTGTGGAGAATGCAAGGCCGCAATGCACGCGCAACGGATCATTTTTTATGAAGATTCATTCAGACTGCCATAATAAACAGATGGCGTTGTGTTGTCTAGCGTTCACAGGGAACAGAGTTGGATTTGTCGGCCGACAGTTGTAAGACTGTCGTGCAACGCAGTGTGTGCCCGGCTTAAGAGGAAGCTGTTTTGGTTGAAGCATTGAGAGGCAGGGAACGATAACTAAGAGATACACATACCAGTGAACTGTTCTCTACCTTTGTGTTTGTGACCTGAAATTCACGGACTATGTATTCGCTTCCTTCTACTTCCCGTTGCTCTTTCACTTGCACTGCGATTGTGTCATGTACCACTGGAGTATTGTCGTCTGGCCAATACTTTGTACACCTCTCCTAGTTAAAAAAAATGAAAAAAAGAAAATAATAAATACGAAATTTAATTTGGCATTTTATCGTCAAAGATTTACATCAAGGTAAAAATAGCTGAACAGCAGATTCCACTGACATATTCCTTAATAATTTTAGTATTTGTAAGTATAAAATTAGGTAATATTTTGAGTAAGTGTTTTTTCAGTCATGTGTTTTATGTATTCCATTCTGTAAGTGGGGTCCTCAATGCTGTCGAATGTGAATTAAAATAAAGTAAAATAAATGTAATTTATCTTCAATCTCAACTATGCTTGAAAGTCATTTTTTACTATCCCTTCTTTTCCTATGAAAATACAGCTTTAATTTTCTGTTGATTCACTTTGCAATGAACTCCTTTATATTAAACATAACACAACAATCTTTTAAAATTAATTTAAAAGCCAACAACAATAAGAATGTTATCACAAAAAGTATTTCAAAAATTCACCATATTATCATGATATATACAGTATAATAATATATAAACATGTTTAAATACCTGTCCATTTTCTTCTAAATCTGTCATCATGATGATGCAAGATGTTCGTTCATCCCAAACCATTCTCCAGAAATCTCCAATAGTATCTTTGGTTGGACCTTGTGTGGCTATGTACATGGATTTGTATTCGTAGCCCTGTGGTAAATAAAAAAAAAAAAATTACATGAGTGCCTATTGTTGGGAGATAAGCACATGATATCCATTATTTTACCATGACCAACAACAATACCACTACCGTAACAAAAACCGTAGCATCATCAATACCAATAATAACACCACCACTATCATAATCAACACTACCGCTACTACCATCACTAACACACCGACTAAAATAACCGGCACCATCACTACTATAACCACCAATACCCTAACCAAAATGACCACTATCATAATCAAAACCACAATTACCAAAGCCAACACCACCAATACAAACCAAAATGACAACTATCATAATCAAAACCACCACTACAATAACCAACACCAATACCACTACCCAAAAAAAAATAAACCACCAGTACCTTAATCAATACCATTTCTAACACCACCACTATCATAATCAACACTATAATAAACAACCACTTTCATAACCAACACCACCACTACAATAACCAACATCATTACTACCATAATCAACACCACTACTAGCATAACCACACCAACCACTACCATAACCAATACCAATACTGTAACCGACACTGCCAATAACAATACCACAAGAAACAACCACCACTACCATTTCTAACACAACGACTAACATAACCAACGAACCACTACAATAATAAAGACCACCACTACCAAAATCAACACTACTTCGAACTTACATCAATATAGGAAGCATTTATGTAGTCGGAGTGTTCTTTGCCAATCAACCGCTGCAGTTTCACTCGGTTGTAATTAACTGCAAATAAAAGAAAAAATTAATTAAAAAAATCAATAAACAATAAAAAAAATTAATTTCATTCAAACAAAAAAAGGTAACTTGCTACCTAGAGGATAGAAGATGTTATATGAACTAAATTTTATTTACTAAATTTATGTAACTTACATGGTATCACTTGTAATAATCTATTTTTTATCTTGTTAGGATCCAGTGTTCCATCCTTTTGTGTTAGATGTGAAGTTGGGATTTGTGTCACTCGCTTCATGAAAAATAAAAAAGCAGATTCTCAATCAGCAAAATTATTGAAATAGCGCAGGATACAGTACATATCTAATACAACTTTCATCTATCGCCATGGATTTAGGCATTTGGAGATTTTAAAGGGCCAGTCTATTTAATGAGTGCTATTGAGATTACTGGGGTATCACCAGCGAAATATCATATAATATTACAATGTTCCTCTAACTTTTTTAATCATCTGAAAAAAGTAAACAAAATTGAAGGAACAAAGCAGGCTTATATACAATTCACACAAGACAAATGTTAAAAGTGACACATGTTATGTACTTATTAATCGACTTAACCAGAGTGAAATTTAACCTGGATTAAGAGTAGGGAGAGCTGCGTAAAAAATGGTATAATACACATACAGTCAAGATGAGCATGACACCACAGTGATAGATAAGCTGCACTCTGCTTGCATGTACACAGATGCATGCTAAATATCTCAGGAGTTCCTTCATTAGTATGTGATATATCAGGTGTCCTATGCAGCATTTTGTCTCATGTCAACTGGGTATCACCTGCAATAGAAAATACATTACTATACTCTCCTTTCGGATTAGGAGGAAATAAAATTTTGTTTACGTCTCACCCTGAATTCCAGTTCCAAGTTTGTGAAATCTGAATTTGATGGCTTTAAAATGAGATCAGACCATTTCTGTTGCATGCTGGTTACATCAATTTCTGATTGATTGTACAAGTACTCCTCCATAAGTGCTTGATGTATAAAAACATACTGGACCTAAAAAAAAACACCATAAAATAATACTTAAACATAAGATACATCAATGTCAATAACATACAAACAATAATAGTATCTACCTTGACAGACCCTTTACAAGACACTACCCTAGCAAACCCATTATTTACAACCTACACTAATGAGATACAATCATACAATCATAATTTCGTAGTCTGATCTGCACATGCTCATATCAAGGTCAACCGACATAAACAAACACATGCCACATATACACAACATAGGTTTATGTTGATTGACTTTAAAGGCAATCACGGTTCAGACTATGAGATGGCTTATTTGCCCGTCTAGAATTCTATAAGATCTAACCCCACCAAACACACATATACACTGCCAGACTCTCAAAATCCTCAGAACCAAGCAAGACCCAAAGGATGCCTAGACTATAAGCACACTGTGCCTTGCTAGACCTCTCAAACAACCTATACTCTACGTACTGTAATATACTGCTATTATATTAGTACCTGTTAAGCTGCATAATAGAAATCTTACATTACAACATGTATTATGTTAAAAGTTGCTTTTCACTTCTTAATTTTTATGTTGCTCTACTACTCTAACAAATGCTCAGCAATAGGCCTACTAATAAAGTGGAACTGTGTGAACTCTTACCTGTGACTGAACCAAAAGATTTCTTTGACCTCTGATCTTGGATACAAAGTTGTATATGTCTACTTGCTTCTCAGCTACCATTTGATCCAACATGGCGTCAATCACAATATACGTTCCTGTTCGACCAACACCAGCACTTTTGGCAGAAATATATTAAATGTTAATTATCGTCTTGTAGAATACAAATAATATCAAAAGAATTAATACATGTAAATTTGAGAATAATTTTACTGTGAGCATAAACAAAAACTAATGTGAGATAGTGATCAGAAATAGCAGTGGATATTGCTACTAAAGCATCCAAAACAACACTGTAAACGTACACAAACACGTTTGTTTGTAGCCTGGGTTCCAGGCCCTAATATGGGTTACTCACGCTTTATTGCACTTAGCGCATGCCATACCTAATTCAATTGGCGTTCTTTTTTCGGATTAGGGATCATTCATGCGTACGATTTCCCACATCAAATTCAACGTGGGATATCGTATGCAAGGCTGATTTTTGTAAATCACGTTTTATTAAGGAGGACTATTTTTTAGTCATGCCTAACTTGTCGACACGAGCGACTCAGTTTTGTGGCTCTGAACGTGTGAACATTGTGATTGGTTGAACTTGTTTATTTCGGTCCGTCCATTTATCCAAATACGGAATATAAGATTACGTCATTTTTTGGCATCCTGGTACCTGCATTCAGTGTTTTACAAGTCGCTTATTCCGTATCTATATTAACTTCTCATTGGTGGCGCTGTCCAGAATGAGAAAAATAATAAAAAATAAGAGACTTGTGGAAAGCCTAGTTTGTTTGTGGATCCAGGCCCTGTGCTGGTTGTTCAGTTGGACTGACACTCCGGCAAGGTCTATTACCATTTGAAGATTATCACAAAAATTATGTTGGTAGTTATGCCGTTTTGTTTTGTAGTACGATGATTTCAATAGACAAAAAACAAAGACGAATGGTGAACTAAGGGGTAAGAAATGATGATACTGTACTAACCTGCAGTGAACTGTGAGTGGTCCTATATCGCCGTTGGACGTTGGCTTCGGTACCATCTGTCGTATACGTTTGATGAAAGACAGCATGGTATATGGATAGTCAGGAATCCCAAAATCAGGCCAGCCAATGAAATGGTACTGTTGGATAGATCTGGACTCACTTTCATAATCAGACTGCAATTAATAAAAATAAAATCATAATAGAATGATGTTGAAGAAATAAAGTTTATTCATTCATAGGAGTTACTAATAACTTTGCAACAGAATGCATTTTATATTGCGGATTAAAATCATATGAGATCTCTATCACATAACTCCTTGCTAAATCTTTAACACTAGTTTCATACTGTAAACAAAATTCCAGACACAACCCAGGATTTTCCAACACCTGGACTCCAGAGTTTTGGTCAGTGTAAACAACAGAAAGTATGACTCAAACGGCCGAACATTTTCAATGTGCAGCCTGCATTCAGCATTGGGCAACTACTGTACACACTGGAGTCGCCAGTGGGTGCCTGCGTTGTAGTTTAATTGTGTGTGGTAGGGTTCAGCTGGCACCTACTGCAGCTGGTGTCAGGTAGGTCTAGTCTATGCTTGCGCCAGTCTACGCCAATTTGTCACAACAGTTAAGTATGCTTTGTAAGTGTGATATTTCTACACACCAATAAAATAAATTATTTTCTATAACAATTATTAAATCTTCAATCTACTCACATTTTGGATGCGGAATTTGCGAATGACATATTCGCACGTCTTCACCGTATCCTCCAGAGTGATGGTGAACTGTTCAAATTCCTGTGAGCCTGAATCTGGCCAATACTGAGCACATTTTTCCTGAAAAATATCAAGCGTATGAATTAATAAAAAAAGGTTTACCATGTATTGTAAACTGGAATGAAATTATACTTCAGGCTTACCTTATGGTTAGCAATAATATGACACCCAGAAAGAAAAAAAACAAACAAAAAAACAGAGGGCGGGTCGTGGGAGACTATACCATGTATGCATAAGCAAACGTGTCCTAATGAAAAACTAGGGGTATATATCAGCATGGCCTCATAGTTCAGTTGGTAGAGTAACCGAACGGTAACTGGAGGTTCTTTAGCTCAAATCACATTAGGAGCTTTCTAAAAAATGTATCACATGTATCTATATGAAATTATGTGGTTTTAGGGAATGGCCTTGATGATTTAAAACATGATTCTGAGATAGCAAAGTATCCTAAGCACCAAGCTACAGCTAAATTTCATTCAAATATTGAAAAGTTCCTTGTTTCTTACTCTTCCTTTCTCAAATGTCTTTGTGAGCATGACAATAGCTGGTGAGTTTTGCTCCCAAATCATCCGCCAGAAATCCACAACTGTCTCTTCTTTAGGTCCTGTTTGAAGAAACGATAAATTTGAATCATATTCACACTGAACCCAGATTCAATTATTTAAAGATTCAGAAACCATTCACCAAACAAACATCACAACATGCAATGCAAAATGAACAGATGTCATATTCATTTCTAACTATGTATTATGGGGAAGGGGAGTTACCCCACCAAAGTCTTAGTCACTAGCATACAATATTACAAAAACTATATACACTTTATTTTTTTTTTATTGCCACTCAAATCAGGTCATATGATAAAATGTAAAAGAGACATAATACAATTTTTTGTATTATATATATGATTAATACAAAGGCAATGGATATCTAGATAGAATGAAATAACATTTGTTCATTTACACAGTATTTATGTGACAACAAGCAAGTGAGGGCGCACACACTCTAACCTCTAACCTTCAGGACAAATATGAAATACAGCTGGGTAAAATAAACATTTTCTAATAAAAAAAATGAACTAACAATCTTACCTTGGGCTGCAATGAATTTATTGTTGAAATCATAACCCTGAAATCAAAGAAGTACAACGAGATAAAAACAAGATAACATTATACTACGGTAATGCTACAAAGGTGTGTGCACTGTTAAGAAACTTGAAAAACACAATACAATATTCAAATTTATGACAGTAAACAACATCATCCTAGAAGATTATACAGCACACTTTCTATCACAGTAGACATCACTTAAGCCATGGTTCCTGAGTACATTATGGCCCAAGTTAAAAAAACACAGTATGGGATTTTCTCCTGGTGCACTGCTCAATTCAACACAAGAATGACCCCACTTATCTTTTGGTGGGTTTCACATACCGATAATTATAACATCCCTGGGGCAATGACAACTACATAGACGTATTATAATAAAAATGAACGGAGTGAATAAAATTGAGAAAACTTACATCCACATAGCATGCATTGATGTAGTCTGATCCAGGTTCTCCATCTATCTCATTAAGAATTACACGACTCTGATCATCTGATGGTTACAGGGAAGTAAAAATAAGTAATTTTATTAGTACCTTAATTTCCTCATTATCATTTATTATTTTCACAGACCAAACTATCAAGCGAGTCGAGTGACCGAGCGGTAAGCAGGGGCACTGCCAATTACAGGTTTAACATCAGCGCTGGTTTGAGTCGCTCCTCGCCCAGGGTTCGGTTGGTAGAACAAAGTCTTCTTAGATAAGGACTTAAAATAGAGGTCCTGTGTATACATTGGACTTGTGTGCACTTTAAAGAACGCGTAACAGCTTTCAGAAGAAAAGAATAGGGGGTTACTCCGATGCTGTGATTCTTCTCAGCCACTGTCGTGGAATGACGTGAACATATAGTTAATATAAGCACCTCTTTACAGTGGTTAGGTAGTCACAGATCACAGCCATACACAATTCAGCATAATAATAATAATAACTGTCGACTTAATAGAGCGCATATTATGGAGACGCTTAACATAAATATGAATAACCATACAAAGAAAGTAATACTTAAACTAACCCTATTCCTTAAATTTAAGCATGGTTTGGCTCCAATGAGTTCATCCGCCCTTTATTTAGCTATTTTTCTTATTGCTGCTGGGTCACCATTCACCTTCCCACCCAAAGGTCGCTCTCCCCCACCGGACACCATCCCAGTATTTCCAAATAAAGGTTTCGGGGTTAAAATTAAAGAAATTTTGTATTGAACAGAAATGTTTTCAAACTAGACTTAAATAGCTCCATAGAACTGGCATCTTTTATTGAGTCAGGTAAGTTGTTCCATAATTGTGAGGACGCAACTGAAAATGAACAGTTGCCATATCGTCACCGTTTTCACAAATTGACAGAAACTTCAAAATCATATTTTTTCAATTTTTTTTTCTTTGACATTTTGATTATGTACATTGAACTTTACCTTTTCATCTAATTTTTAAAAGTGGAACTACACTAATTAGATAATTAAGCTAATTACCTGTTGCGCACAAACCGAGAAAAATGGATTTTTCGTTTTCATGAACAGACACAAACTTTCATTGAGTTATTAAAAGACGCGCGTACGGCTTTGCAATCGTTGTGATCGCTATGTAAGGCCTAGCTTGGCTAGGACTAAATGTAAAAATTAGATTTCCCTAGCTTACTCAGGCATTCCGGTACCCTTCTTGCAGTATAACTTGGAAAAGGTCTATACACTTGCATCAAATGTGGAATTATTCGTAAAAACATAATAAATAAAGCAGGATAAGCCAAGATTGTAGGCTTGTATTCGCCCTTGACTACAATGATTAACACATAGCTGAAATACAGTTTGTGCAAGTTTGTGCCTTAACAACGGGTGCGCATAGAGTTTTAACGAAGAGACAAAAACTTCACTCTACGTGTAAACAACATAAGCTGTGTTTATTCTGATCGTTTTCACGAACAGATACAGAACTTTTCACGCTAATTAACAAGTTGATTAAAGTTAAGAAAAGAAAAATAAATTACACATTTGGATTGTTTAATGTAAAAAAATATTCAAAATTCCGTTATCTTGATAGTGAAATTTACGGATTTGTGAAGTAGTCCACTTCAAACGCGTTTTTTCCTCAAAATGTTGTTTTCGTCGAAATTTAAGTTTGGGTCTCTTAGTGAAAACGGTGACGATAGGTCTGTGTACAATATTTCTGTATTACAAGGAGGTTCTTCCATGCAGACATTAGAGTGCGTTTTGTGTGGTATGCTGGTATCAGATCCATTAAATACTGCGGTGTATAATGAAGTCTGGTCTTAAATATGATTAAATTATTTTGAAAACAATTCGTTTGGAAATTTCAAACCAATGAGGGTTACTAAGGACACGTGAGATTTGTTCATACCTCTTTGTTTTTGTATATTTCTTGCTGCACAATTTTGTATTCTTTGCAATTTGGCAATTTCACACTTTTTTTTTTTTTTTTTGAGACCCAAACAGTGAACCACTGCAGTAATCTAGTCTAGATGTAACATAATGACGCTGCGAGTTATGGGTTATGCTCCTACCTTTACCTATCATCTCAACAACTATCATCAAATTACCAACGCCAAAATTTCCACCACCCACACTAATAGCACAACAATTGAAATTGTTGTCATTACCATAACTATCTGTGCGACATGCCATCACAATGTCGCCCTCAATGGTACTTACATGCCAGAATATTGATGTATCTGTTCTTTCCCTTATTCTCTGCCATATTACTAGCTTCTGTTGTAATAACTCTCGATGACTGTGGTAAAGACTGTTAAATAACAAAACCAAAATTAGTCATAAACAAATTCTAAAACATCATCCCTTTGTTGTAGAATAATATATGAACCACCAAAAAGCTGCACACCCTAGGCGATCTAGCCAACATACCACACTGAAATTCTGTTATAACCAAATCCCTTCATTTCACTGCCTTTATAGAGGTTTGATGTATTGACCACTAGGGTGTTGTCATCCTTAATAAAAAATAGCTGATTTCTTCATGTATGTTTAAGGGTATAAATAAAGGTAAACATCAAAATTCATAAAGAAAGTAAACATTATACCCAACTACCAGAAAAGCCTATCAAAAATCAATTGGAGATTAGCCTAACTATGTGGGGCAAACATTAAACAGCGGACACCCTCATTTTGGCACACTAGCCTGTCATTAAAATGTTCGTCCTGTACCAACGTGCATTGACTAAATTTTATGGTGTCAATTAAATTGTATTTAATTTTCTAAGTGTGCAAACCATTAAAAAAAAAGCTGAAAAATTGGAGGACTTAGTGCTCTATAGTTAATCAGTGTCCATTAGGCTAGGGGGCAATGTTGCTTATTGTTGTGCAATACATAATTTTATCAAGGATCGAATCTATTATCCTGGAAATATAACTAATACACTAACTTAACGACATATCACCATGGAGACATATCATATCACAAGCATATAATCAACAACATTGAACACAAGAAGGAGAGACAGAGATTTCCATGCTGTTGGTGCAACGTGCACAAATCTGCTCCCTACACGAAGGCGTTTCTCAATACCATAAATGCATCTTGGTTGCAAACAAGAAAAGAAGGGTCTACTGTACCATGCTACCACATTATATTGAAATAAAAAAAAAAAAAAAAAAACCAAACACCAGAGGGAGGTAAAAAGAATAGAAGGAAGCAAGACCATTTGACCAAGTGGTTTTTATCATGCAAAGCAAGACATGTGGTGCAACTCGTGGGCCAGTAATGTCACCTTGTATTCCTGATTAAATAGTTTGTCGCCATCCCTGTGTTTTTCCTCGAAGGTGGGCTGAAGTCTCTCTACTGAGATAGCTGGATATTCTAGAACAAAACAAATAAAGCTTAACTTGGAAAAGGAACAGAGACCAGTATACTGGCATGAGTATACTGAATATGTTACATTCACTTACAGAATTATTAATTATATATTACAGGCATATTTGGCTGCTTGTTTTGAACTCAACTTGCCAAAAGCATACAAGAAAACTGTATCATGATCAGTTATGCAGAAAATTTTTAATGTTTTAATCATTTCTTTTGCATCCAACAGCAAGCAACCTGCCAATCACTGCATGAAACAATGTTGGCTTTATAAACTAAGTCTCTTCATCAGGCTGGTATTAGAAGGCAAGTCATGGGAGCATCTTGGATATAAACATGGTCTTCCACATTTATCTTACACCTATCCTAACCAAATTTAGAAAATTTTAATTGTATACCATCATTACTATTAACTTGGAGGTATTATAGTATAATATAATTAAAATTATATATAAAAAATGAAAGACAAAATACTTTGTTGCATAAAATAAATAATTAAAACAACACAAACCTTGTAAGTATCCGGTGTTGTCCCTACTCCCAAGTTCAAGTGGACCATCAAATTGTTGTCGTCTTCCACTACCACTACCAAAGAAACGTTCTCTTAAATAATGACGTCTATTTCTGCAAAGAACATAAAGAGCAATTGTTTTTAATAAAACTTATACAAGTTATATAAACATACATACATATATTTAGTCATGTGTATATATACATATCACATTCTGTATATAAAACACTATGTTCCTATATTTAAGGACGGTTTTCCTTGGGTGGTTATATTTTATAGGGGTTTGGTAATATGGGATGGTGATTGGGGAAAAAATGGAGAAAACTAAGGACTAAGGTAAGGACTGGGGACTGTGTGTTGGCAATGGAGAGAGGAAGAATAGTAGAAAAAAGCGATGGGAAACGCGTGCGAGAGATCTATCTATCGTCCGATAAATACAGGCCATTCTGAAGTGAGGGTCATCGTACTTGCTGAGGCACGGACTAACTTGTACAGTAACTTTCTAAGGGGTCACTTCGTGGGTGAGCTACCCAGTAAACCGGTACCAGCTATTCTTGTCTAGCCACCAGTCTGTCGACCAGTACACATTGGTAACCCCCTACTCATCTTGAAAGATATACTGGGTTCTTTATAGTGCACATGAGCCAATTGTACACTGGACCTACGGTTTATAGTCCTTATCCGAGAACACTGGTTCCACCTCCAGAACCATAGGCGAGTGTGCTGTTGGATCCAGCACCAATATTATGGCTGTACATTGCCGCGCCCCTGCCTTAACCCCTCAGGCATTCAACTCAATATATAGGAGCAGATAGAGAATAGGGATAGTGGTGATAAATTTAAGATTCGAAAAGTGTATGTGGAAATGTGAATATGGGTTGGATAAGGAGGTGGTAAGGAGGTGGAAAAGTGGTTGGGGGAAGGGAATGAATCTAGTGGGAGTGTGAAATAGGAGTGGAAAGTGGAAGGGGAGGTAAATGAATATGGAGATTTCATGCATATGTGCATGTGTGTGTGGTCCCTTTCTCAACTAAATATCAATAAAGTAACACTAACGGTTGATATACTTACATGGACATAACCGCCACAAGAACAACGACAACTATGACTAAGATTACAACAATTGAAACCACAACTATCATTCCTGTATTGTTTTCTGTTGATGACAATTTCAAGAAAATAGAGGTAAAATATCAATGTAAATTGGATTTTATTAGCATTAAATTGTAATGTCGTGTATTTTTAATATCATATATCATTATTACTCTATCATTTCGTGTTTATAATTATTACTATCTTCATTGTTATCTTTATCATAATACTGTATTTAAAATTTGAAGGTTTGCATGGCAAGTCTCAATAACAAAATAACAAATTCCCTCACAGGTGTAAAACTGACTCTCACACAAGTGTACAAGTAACTCTCACACTGGTGTAGAACTCTCACATAGGTGTACAATTAACTCTCACACAGGTGTACACTCTCACACAGGTGTACAAATAACTCTCACACAGGTGTACAATTAACTCTCTCACACTGCATGAAGTTCAACGGAGAATCTGACACCAAACACACACTGCACATGCACAGTTTATTTTCTAAAACTGTACGTCCATCTCACACTGTATCAAGTTCAGAGAATCTCTCACAAAATATACATACAATATACTAATTTTTCAATTCTCTTTACAAATCGATATTGAACTCTCACACATAATATGCTTCAAATCTCACTCAAGACACACACAACACAAACTATGATTGTTGAGTAGAATTTTCATATCACTTCAAAAATAGACGTTTTGTAGAATTTTGGGAGAGTGTGGAACTATCAAACTGTACATAAGGACTCTAATGTTGTTCTCTATATCACATAAATCTATGAATGCCAAGTAGAATTATCATATTGATTCCTATTGGTCTCCCTAGCTGTGATGACAAGAAGGAGAACAAAATACTGGATCCTGTATTTTGTTGTTCTTCTTGTCATCAGAGCTAGGGAGACCAATGGGAATCAATGGTAACCCCCTTTTTTGACAAGTTTACTATTGCAGTAGTATTTTATCATAACTTTGTTTATTAAACAAACACTTCTGAGTTAAACTTGGTCTAGGAAACCCCCTTCCTATGAACCTGGTTATGGGCCTGAGTATACTTTCCTTACTGTTCATACATATTCTATTCCTATGTTGATCAATCCTGTGCCAAATGTGATGTTATTCAAAAAGCATTTGTGGAATGAACATGGTAAATCATCCAATCCCGTAAGAGAGAGATAAAAGGATTGTTAGCTAGAGAGGCAAGAGTGAAGGGTCAAAGAATGCCCAGAACATTGCAATCTGATGATCTACCAGTTCATAACTTACTTACCCAAATTAGGAGAGGTTGCTTTTGGAGAACATGCCCAAACTAATGACAGACGCAAAGGTCAGGGGTTGGAGCCTTGTCTCTCCCAACCCAGGAGTATTACAAGTGGGTACCAGGCATGGTGAGACACTAAAGGCCACCTCAGACAACATTGTACGACGCAGCCCGATGCAGTCTGTTGTTGTGTCAGGTCTGTGTGAGTTAAACGCAGACGCGATGATTTGCGTCGAGAGCAGTCGCGTCGTAGAATATTAAACATGGTGTCATTATTATTATTATTATTTCGTGCCATAAACATAACTTTTCTTACCTCAGCCCCAACAGTTGTGGGGCTGTGGCGAGTGGACATTTTGTTTACGCAAGACTCAACCTGGAACCCCTCTATTTCGACTTCCTGGACCCGCCACAGTTGGAGTATCATTTCCGAGCTACATAGAAGGGTAATGTTTATCCATCGGGGAAAAAGTGAAGTTTTCGTCGGGGAACCCATATCAAGGATAACCCTCATAATAAATAATTCATTGAGGTCGTAGAAGCAATCTGGACTTCGACTTTGTTCGAAAATCTGTGGTGCGTTCAAGTGGAGGGGGAAGGCTAAAATGTTCAATTTTTTTTTTAATGGCGATATAAGCAAAATTATATTCAAATTTTAAGTCTGAGAGTGTAATTTCCGGCCATCTAGAGGTGCCATAATCACAAATTTTCTTACCTCAGCCCCAACAATGGTGGGGCTGAGGTGGTAAAGATTCTCCATCTGCTGAAGTACCCAGTGGCGGATTCAAGGGGACCCAGCCGGCCTGCCCCCACCCTCCTAAATTGTTCAATAAAAAATGGATATAAAGATAATTATATTCAAATTTTATGTCTGGAAGTGCAATTTCCGGCCATCTAAAGGTGCCATAATCACAAATATCCGTAGCTTCCAAGGGTCTTCGCCCCCTGGACCCCCACCGGGGGATCCACCGGGGGCCGTTGCGCGGCCCCCCAGCCTAGATGCTTGCTTCGCTCGCATACTTGACCTTATGAAATGGCACCCCTACTTTCAAAAACGTTCCGCCGCCGTTGATGCTGTCTAAGCTGGCCTTAGCTGATTCCTAGTTGCAACAATATGCAATTCTTCATCTGGGAACAATGTGTTCCATAGCAGTTTGATACAAATACAATAAACAGGGTGATTATGTGTTGCAGCATGTCATTTTGGCACAATGCATTAAAAGCGACTGATGTATTATATTTTGAGGCCCATGGAAAAATCACCTGCTTATGTCCAGGAAAGACCTGTACAATCAATCAGGCAGCGTTGGGTATAATAAAGGTATCAATATGTATGTTTTTTTAATTATAGGCTTGAAGAGTTGCTTTCAAGAGGGCTGCGTTAATTATCAAACTTCCGTTATGTAATAACCCCTTCCAACTTCCAAGTCACAATCATTTTAGTGAGGCTATTAAGAGAGTACAAGAGAAAGATGCAAGCTATTATCAAAAGATTAAATGAAATTATGCAAACCATCACAATTCAATATTTTGTCTGTTCATCTCCAGTTCCAAGAGTGTAATTGTGGTACAATGCAGAGAATGGAATATAAATAAGAAAATAAAAGACTTTTCAGACATAATTATTAATAAGGTAAGCTCAATCCATCAAATCAAAAGCAACTCTTAGTTGGTTTCAGGAAAAAGTGTGTGTTAATATATAATTATAGGTTGTTATAAAATACAGTACTGAAATATTTCAACATGCTGTGTAAACAGTTACAATACCAAATAAAAAAAAATAACACAAAATATTGTCATAAAGATGCAGTTAACTGGACATTCAGTCAAACTTGTAAACTCATTTGCATATTATGAATATTCATAAATCTTCATTCCAAAACAAGCAGACAATGAAATTGATAGACATACGTGGCAATGATCCAACTGATCTTCTATACAATGCTATTGTTCAGATCATAAAGATAAACAATCAGTATGTAAATTATATGTTTATTGTTGCCAGCTCAATCAATTTACACATGCTTATTTAAATAAAGCATAATATACTATATTTTTATTTATTCATTTCAATGGTATTTAATGAAGATAGCCCTCCCCTAAGCCTGGGGTGTCACTGTCAGCTGATGTTAATGGTCCCCTTTAAGAAAATAAAATACATTTAGCAATATTGATCCTATAATTAAGAACGGAGCATTTTCCTTATGAGCATACAAAGAATAATAAAAAAAAAAAAAACAATATAAAAAATTTGTTGAGAATTATATCATAATTTCCCTACACCTATGCTAAATTATTAAATACACACATAAATTAATTGTCAAAATATCAATTTTTTGTTTACAGTAATTAAATCACAAGATGGATGTGAATAAAGCACATAAAACAAATGATTTATGGCACATGTAGCTTAATCCCATTATTGTATTATTATATCCAGGGCTTTTGGATATACAGTTAGGATACCGGCATTGGACCTAAGCTAAGAAAACGGTACAAACAGTTTTACCTAGAGGAGGTGAATCGGTATCTTGGGCCACAAACTGGCCGGTTCACCACAGAATTGGGAACATCGGTGATCGCCCAAAAATGTCAGGTGGCGTAGGATCAGAAATCTCAGGCCTAGCATGTCTAACCAATTGGGGAATGTAGCTTAATTTATTTCTGGTCGCCTCGAAAGCGGCAGCGAACGCAGTTTGGCCATTTTTTTTACCTAACACAATCTCGCTCAAGACCCAGCACCTGAGCCGCTCGCGATTGATGGAGACATGCGAACGTGACTTATATGTTTTAATAATAAATAATTATAATAGAAATCTCTCGTGTCACAACTTGTCAATCAAGATTAAACCATCGCAACCAAACAACTGCAGAACCTAAATGCAGATTTGAAAATTTGTTACTTGACAGATAATAAAACACAATTAACACAAAGTTTCAGACACGTTTATTTCATAAACTATTATGAATCCATTTTATAGTACATATTTATGATTTATAAACTTAGCAATTTATACATACAGTACTTTTTAAAGCACTTAATATTAATAGTAATATATATATACATTAGAAAGTACCTAAAACTTGTTTTATCAATAATAATGTCACCATACATCTACTCAGGTATAAGCTCAATTCATTCACATATTCATAGCTCTATCCAGCCTATCAAATATTATTTGACAAATACATGTGACATGCCCGGGTTTTTTGGGTTTTTTTTGGGAGGGGGCCAGCCCGGTCCCCCTCCCTCTTTTTGGAAGGTTAAAAAAAAGGAAAGAGAGAAATAGAAAAAAATTATCGCCCAAAATGCCTCTGAGGTTATTTTCAGGTGTCTAGACCACAAAAAGTTCCCCTTGGTGTAGTATTACCTTGAGTTTCTCCACTTTCGGCTCACACCCCTTTTGGACATCTCTGGATCCGCCCCTGTATATTCTCATAAACATAAAAAATAATCAATCTTCTTTCAACAGTAGAAGTACTTGAATATATAGGCCCATCCTCCTCCTGTCATCCAATTACTGCCAATGATGTGATTTCATGGTGTAATGTATACTTAAGTGAGCATGGAAACATTAAGCCATAACTTGGACAAATCAACGCATAACACAAATATCAAAAATGTAAGAGGAAATTATAAAAAGTGAAAAATGTACTTACTTCCTGTTTTAACTGGGTTAATAAACGGACTAGATGAATATACCTGGAAAAAAAAATTTAAAAAAATAAAATATATATATATATATATATACATATATATATATATATATATATATATATATATAATGTTTTTT